TAAGCCTTCATCTTGAGTGAGAATAGCAGCACAATTGGAAGGGCATAGTCAATGTCACTGAACTGTGCATGTAGAAATTTTTGAAATGGTGTATCTTTGGCTATGTGTATTTTCACCAAAAAAAAAGGTTGAGAAGTTAGAGTTGACATGTTGTGGGGTTGTTAACCAGTGTCATAAAACAATATGTGTACTACTGTTTCATGAGAAACTATTTGTTCTGTAAGCCTTCACCTGAAGTACAATAAAAAATAAAAATAAAAAAACTATTCTGGCAAAAAACAAAAACAAAAAACCTGCCAAAAGAACGAACAAATCTGTCTTGGAAGAAACACAGCCAGAACGCTCCTCAGAAGCAAGGATGGCAAGACTATGTCTCACATATTTTGGACATGTTATCCGGAGGAACTAGTCCCTGAAGAAGGACATCATGCTTGGTAAAGTAGAGGGTCAGCAAAAAAGAGGAAGATCCTTAATGAGATGGACTGACACAGTGGCTGCAACAATGGGCTCAAGCACAACAATTGTGAGGATGGCACAGGACCGGGCAGTGTTTCGTTCTGTTGTACATAGGGTCACTAGGAGTCAGAACCAACTCAACAGCACCTAAGAACCACAATGTATGTACAAGCATACATGTCCTTACAAACATGCTGTAATTATAAGCACTAAACACATGAATTCGTGGTGGTTTGTGCACTATTCCCAACTCTGTTCTGCAGCCCTGACCATGCCCTGGGGCTCCAGAACTCCACTACAGCTAACAGCTTGCTCTGTGGCTTTAGAATACCTACAGATTCTTACAAGCAGCATAGTCAGAACTGGAGCTTAGATTTCCCCACTGCCTCATACCTGTTTCTCCCTCAGGTTCCCCAGTCTCAATAATGGTATCACTATTTACCCTTTGTGCATGCCAAAGATCAAGAATGATGCTTGACTTCCTTCTTCCCTCACCACTACACTCAATTCATTAGTTAGTTTTGTATAGTTCACCTCCAAAAAATTATCCCAATCCCATCCACTTCTGTCTACTTACATTAATACAAGTTTAGTCAAACTATCCTACTTTTTTTTTTTTACTATACTTTTGCAACAGCCTGAAAACTGGTCTTCTCCTTCCTATAATGCATTCTTGCCAAAGCAGCCAGAGCAAACAAACTAAAACATACTTCAGATCATGATACTCTGCACATAGAACATAATAAAAATTCTAACTGCATCTCAGACTTCACCTTGTACTCACTAAAATACACTATCCAGAAAATGCAATTTATAAAAACCATGTGGGAGCATACGCAAATTATAAAAACCATTTAGGAGCATAAAAAAACAAATTTTGGTACTTGAGCTTCAATGTTTGTTGGCAGAATTCTTAACCTTTTACACACTTTGACTTATAATTGTGTTATTGTACATTAACTTCTTGTGTCAAACATAACACAGATACAATGAGGAAGTGAACGTTGTCATCCTTCCCATAGTACACCTGAGCCACCACATTGCCTGTGCTACAGGCAGGGAAGACTGAGTCTTGGGATTGGAGAGGTGGAATTCTCACGGCCCTATGCATGCTAGAAACTGAAGAGGTTGTAATATATGTAAGGTTCCTCTTCCCCATAGGCAGCTTACCTCTGACCTCATCTCATCATGGTGAGGAGGGGGCCTCTGGGATAGACTGACCTAGCCCCCTCATTTGACCATAAACACCTGTACTTCGCAAACACCTAAACTAGTCCAGAAAAATAAAGCAGCAGTGAACATGGAACTATTTCTTTATATAAACATTTTCATGCTCTCTTCAATAATATTCCAACCTGAACATGGGTCTTTCCCCATAACTCAGAAAGCAGTCACCACTACACTTTGGAACCAACCACAGCACTTGGATTCTTTGGTGTCAAGACTCCATGTGAGAAGACTCCCTGTGGCAAGGTAGCCCTGCTGGCCCTTTCTGAAAGATAAGCACAAGCGTGGGCTATGGTCAAAGCATCTTCAAAGACTTTACACATTATTCCATTTCCAATAGTATTTTTGGCCATGATTTTAATCTGTAAAACTTGGCACAGTGATGACTCTAAAGTTTGTAAAGAATTAAATATTTTAAATAAATTATCCCCTCTTCTACTTCCCCCATAAGACATTTCATAACTTGTATAAAAGCAATGATTACATCTGTTTAGTATAACAGGGTCTGTTTCTACTACAACACTGTGGGTTTCTTGAGGACACAGACAATGTCTTGTACATCTGGTATAATGGGCAAAGTGTTCAACAGAGCTTTGCTGATACAGGCAAGGTTTGCTGGCAAACGTTTAAGGAATTGGAAACTAAGAGTATAACCCCTGTCAGGGATTGAACTGTGTCCCCCAAAAATATATGTGCAATTTGGCTAGGCCATGATTCCCAGTATTGTGTGATTGGCCACATTTTGTCATCTGATGTGATTTTCCTATGTGTTGTAAATCCTGTCTCTATGATATTGATGAGCAAGGATTAGAGGCAATTACGTTAATGAGGCAGGAGTCAATCTACAAGACTGCACTGTCTCTTGAGCTAATCTCTTTGAGATATAAAAGAGAGAAGGGAGCAGAGAGACAGGGGAAACTTGTATCACAAAGAAACAAGAGCCAGGAGACTAGCAAGTCCTTTGGACCCAGAGTCCCTGCACTGAGAAGTTCCTCGACCAGGGAAGACTGATGACAAGGACCTTCCTCCAGAGTCAATAGAGAGAGAAAGCCTACCCCTGGAGCTAACACCCTGATTTGGACTTTCAGCCTACTAGACTGTGAGAGAATAAATTTCTCTTTGTTAAAGCCTCAATTGGGTTCAATATAGGCCACCAAAAAAACATACTTTTAATACATTTTAATTTTAATTTCAAAGAAGAAACATCACATAGGAATATAGGACTGTGTAACATTGATTTAACTGAGGCAGAGAATTCAGGGAGTGGAGAAGAAGTGATTTTGACACTTGAAGTGATAAGTAAGAGATAACTAGATAAAAAGCGATGGGAAGCCACCCTAGACAGAAATAAACATACAAACTACACCCCCCATATATATATATATACACATCCATTCCTCACTTATCGACATGGTTAGGTGCAAAAGACCATGTCGTTACGTGAAAATTCGCAACATGCAAAAATGGAGGATGACCACATCATTACACAGCTTCCAAATTACATCATTACATAACTGTCAATCCACTGAGAACCATGGCTCAGCTAAGTTGACACATAACCATAACCCTCTCTACCAGCATTACTCTTGCCTTGCACCTTGGCGTTCATTACTGCCAGACGTATGTCAGATAGTAGATTTTTTACTATTGTTGTAAATATGACACGTCAGATAATGAGAGTCAATAAGTAAGGCTTAGGTATATATGTATACATATATATGTATATGTATATATATGTATATCCCCTGCACGTCTGTCAGTTTTTCATACTGTGGAGGCTTGCGTGTTGCTGTGATGCTGGAAGCTATGCCACCAGTATTCAGACACCAGCAGGGTCACCCATGGAGGACAGGTTTCAGCTGAGCTTTCAGACTAAGAAAGACTAGGAAGAAGGACCACGAAGTCTACTTCTGAAAAGAATTAGCCAGTGACAACCTTATGAATAGCGGCAAAACACTGTCTGATATAGTGCTGAAGATGAGCCCTCCAGGTCGGAAGGCACTCAGAAGATGACTAGGGAAGAGCTGCCTCCTCAGAGTAGAGTCGACCTTAATGATGTGGATGGAGTCAAGCTTTGGGGACCTTCATTTCTTTTTTTTTTTTTTAATTGTACTTCAGGTGAAGGCTTACAGAACAAATAGTTTCTCATGAAACAGTAGTACACATATTGTTTTATGACACTGGTTAACAACCCCACAACATGTCAACTCTAACTTCTCAACCTTTTTTTTTGGTGAAAATACACATAGCCAAAGATACACCATTTCAAAAATTTCTACATGCACAGTTCAGTGACATTGACTATGCCCTTCCAATTGTGCTGCTATTCTCACTCAAGATGAAGGCTTACAGAACAAAACAGTTTCTCATTAAACAGTACACATGTTGCCCTATGACAATGGTTAACAACCTCACAACACACCAACACTATCCGTACTCAACCTTGGGTTCCCTATCACCGGCTTTCCTGGCCCCTTCTGCCTTCTAGTCCTTGTCCCTGGACTGCTGTGCTTCATTAGTCCCATTTGGTTTTATAGGGCTGTCCACTCCCCAGCTGAACGGTGAACCTCGGAAGTGACTTCACCACTGAGCTAAAAGGGTGTCTGGGGGCCATACTTTCGGGGTTTCTCCAGTCTCCTTTAGGCCAGTAAACCTGGTCTTTTTTGTGTGAGTTAGAATTATGCTCTGCATCCTTCTCCAGCTCTGTCCAGAACCCTCTGTTGTGATCCTGGTCAGAGCAGTCAGTGGTGGTAGCCGGGCACCATCTAGCTGTACTGGACTCAGTCTGATGGAGGCCTTGGTAGCCGTGGTCCATTAGTCCTTCGGACTAATCTTTTCCTTGTATCCTGTTCTCTTCACTCTGCTTTGCTCCCGAAGGGATGAGACCAGTGGAGTATCTTAGATGGCTGCTCACAGGCTTTTAAGACCCCAGACACTACTCACCAAGGTAGAATGTAGAACATTGTCTTTATAAACTGTGTTATGCCAATTGAGCTAGATGTTCCCCGAGACCATGGTCCCCACAGCCCTCCGCCCAGCAATTCAGTCCCTCAGGGAGTTTTGATGTGTCTATGGAGCTTCCATGACCTTTCCTTGTACAAGTTGTGCTGTTTTCCCCAGTATTCTGTACTGTCTCACCCTTCACTGAAGATACCACTTATCTATTTGGCCAGTTTTTTTTTTGTTCGTTTGTTTTGAATGTACAAACATGCATACATATATATATACACACATATATATACACATGTATATATGTATATATATATTTAAATGATAGAAATGCATTTAATAAGTTATAAAGATTTTTTTCTTTTTAGAAATATTCCCAAGAAATTTGAACTTAAAGGACAAATTCATAAAGCATTTCACAGGTAAGCATATAATATACCAGTAATTCAATTAAATAAAAAGATTATATGGAAATGATTCTGCTAGGCACTAGGAATATGGAAATAAATGTCTGTAAGAAACTCATAGTTCATTCAGGGAGATGGACAAATACTACTACTACCCGTAAACCAGATCTTGATAAATAATAGACATATAAACAAAGTTCTAAGGATACACAGTAAGTAAATAATTTTGCCATGAACTTTCAGGAAAATATTGGATAAGGCACAATATTTAAGTTAGATTTTAGGGCATGAAAATGGTATTCACAGGATGAGAGAGACATGCTGGTGAAAAAGAATCCTTTGAGCAAGTCATGAATGCACACAATGTGGTTTTGGGAGAGATAGGTAGTATGATGTGGATGGAATGTATGGCCAGTATAGGTAGGGCTGAGTGTGGCTGCTGGGCAAAAATATGTCTAGAAAAGTAGGTTAGAATCATACTGTGAATGATATGTATGGTATGCTAAGGAATTTATTGATCCACAGCCAATGGGGCAACAGAAATATTTTTAACGGGAGAGATAGACTTTCATATGCCACATCTTGACTGTGGATGGAGTGATCTTTCATGGCACTGTTTTGTTTTTCATCACATCTTTGTGAATCATTTATACATCATTCTATGCCCCAGGTTCTAGAAAATCACTGAATTATTTTTAACCCTGCACCACCACATTTACAGTTGCCATGCCTCTCTCTGCCTAATCATCCCAGCTACCTTTTACTGTCTTACATCTCAGGCGTATAATCTGGGAAAGATATGAGTTTTCCACTTAATCAAAGCCAAGGGCCACATTTGTAACTTAAGTTCAAGACTTGTGGGAGGGAGGAGGATCAAACGGTTGTGTAAGAAGTCTCACGATGTTGAGTGTTGCCAGGAGCTTTGGTAGCAACATAGCTGTGGAGTCTCCTACTTCTGCTACTTCCATCAAAAGCAGAGTCCAGATGTGAGGATGGAAGTTGAGGTGGGGCCTTCCTTGGAATTATAGGGCTAGATAAGGGAAATATCCAGACCTCGTCCACTCCAGAGTAGTCCTTGACACTAAAAAGACACAAATTGCTATAATTTGACAACAGAATAAATGTCTCTGCATATAAACACTAATTCCTTTGAACACTGGGGAACAGAAAGTAAAAACAAGGATTTTTTATTCTTCTCATCCACTTGATTTACTCTGTACTGAAATTTTTTTTTCTGCCTAGAGCTTCTCCCTTTTAGCTCTTTTAAAGAGTTCTGAAATTGAAGGTCCCATTATGTGAGCTGTTGAGAATGGATTTAGGTTATTATTATTTACAGATTACAATTCACTACTTCCCACAGTGTCTGGGGTAGGAGGAGAGCTCACAGGCAAGTTCTTTTAAGGGCATAGAAGAGTGTATATAGCTACGGTTATATTATCTTCATCCATAAAGTGCTGGCAAATTTGTTTGTAAAATAATGCTGTGTTTATAATAAGCGTTCTTTTCCTGTCCAATAGGGCCAGTCACATTTTCAGCTGAATGTAGCAAACATTTCCATCGACTCTATTATAATACCAGAGATTGTTCAATGCCAACTTGTAAGTAGCTTGGGGCAGATTTTTTAAATTTTATTTTAAATCTTCGTCCAACAATAAATACATGCAATTTTAGACTTCAAATGTCTGTGGGTGGGAAGTAATAGACTAAACATTGTATGAGATGTTATTTATAACACTGACGGTACTTAAGGTTTGTGTGTGCCACTGAAACTATAAGGAATGAAACCACATTCTGATTGGGAGTATATCCAAATCTGAAAATAGCCAGATTTCCTTAAGGACTGAAATGTTTGTCAGGACGAACCTTTTATCATTTTTCAAATTCCTTGGCAGAAGTAAGGTGCTCTCTCATATAAAAGAAAAAAAAAAAGATGACTGTGAAAAATAAGTCAAAAGTTTACTTGTAAGTTATTTTAAAATAATTGTTTTTATATCACATAATTTATGCAATGTGTGCTGGATTTTTCTGAATAACAGTAGCATGTGTTTTAAAGGATGCCCTAATGAATTCTTCTGGTTACTTAAATTACTAAAGTTAATAGTAATTCCAAACCTGATATTTAAATGCTGTCATTTAAAATGTGCAAATCATTATTATGTGTGGTAACTCAGCAATTTTAAGTTACTTTCTAAAACTAAACTTTCTTTTTCAAAGAAATATATTTTAAATATTTTCTTTTTAGCAAGATTGGTCAACTAAAGAAGTATTTGATTTTATCCAAAATGATAAGTTGTATTTGTTATACTTTTTCCAAACAACTTGTGTTTAATGAATGGGGAAAATGAATTACATTGAAATCAAGTGAAAATGGCTCACTAGTAACACACTATGGTGGAGAAAGCTCAGGCTTTAGGATCCAACTGCTTACTAGCTGTAAGATTCTTAACACTCTGAGACTGTTTCAATAGCACCTACCTCATTGTGCTATTAGGAAAATTAAGGAGAAAATCACCTTAAGCACTTGATATATTCGGGGCTTGTTAAGATACAGCTCTTGTTATTATGAATTAATGACCATAATTAACATGATTATCCCCACAGTTACAGTAGCTATTTACATAATTTACCTTTACCTTTAAATGCTTTTCCTAGACTACAAAAGGTGTGCTAGATTGTTAACAAGATTAGCAGTGAGCCCACTGTGTACTCAGACCTAGAAAATTTAACCTGTGAGTATGCTTTTTCCTCTTATTTTGATAGATATCCTAACTTTCTTAAGAAACTCGGGACAGTATAAAAAGTAATGAAGATCCTATTCACAATACCTAGTGAATTTAACCTGTGGATTTTTTACTTAGTATTAAAGCTTGGTCTAAATGCTTAGACTGGTTTTATTGAATTAATTAAAAATGCCCTCAATAGTGATTGAATTAAGTAAGATAAACAACTGTTTGGCAGTGCTGCCAGGCCTAAGTGGTTTTTAAATTTTCAACATTTGGTATTATTTTATTGTTATGCAGAAACACTAGGCAGAGAGATATTAGGTGAACAAATTATTTATAGGTCTGCTTTCTCTTAACCAATTAAAGATATAATAAAAGTGAAACTGGGTCTTAAAACTTTGGTTTATGCAATCTAGGTAAGGAGCAGAGAGAAGGTATTAAAAGAGTAGAAGAAAAAACAGAATAAAAAATATAGTGAAAATGTAATCAGCATCTGCTCTAGGGTATTTTGCCAGGGTGAAATGGTAAGTCACTGTTTCCATTCTGATTAAATTACCCTAGGAGTCCTAGTGAAATAAAGTATTAGTAGAATCCTAAACAAACTTCATGTAAGTTTTAATATTTATTTGCAAAAATAGAATCTACACAAAAGCCTGAAAGCTATTCACTTCTTTGCAAAGAACTTTTCCAGTGATGATGTAATATTTTGGACAGCATTTCAGTACCACGGACAAATCCCTTTAAGGAAACCTTGATTCCTGGAGTTATTAGGGTGGAAATGAATGTCCTGAAGTCACTGTAGTCTAGAAGTATTTTCTTGAATGTCTTGAACTGGCCATCATAACTCTATCTGTCCCAAAAGAACTGCATGGAGATTTACTTATCCTATCTCACAGGTTTGTTGTGAAAATTACTGAGATAATCCTGACCTATTGTTGTTGCTAGAGTCCCAAGTGATTAACATGCTTGGCTGCTAAACAAAAGCGTGGAGGCTCCAGTCCGCCCAGCGGCACCTTGAAAGAAAGGCCTAGCAATCTACTTCTGAAAAATCAGCCATTGAAAACCCTGTGGAGCATAGTTCTACTATGATACACATGGGGGTCTCCAGGAGTTAAGAGTTGATGTGATGACAACTGGTTTATTGTTGTTGCAATTCTTATTTTATTTAAAAAGTTATTGTTATAAATTAATAATAATTAGCACTGTAAAATTTGCATATTTATACTTTATACATAAAAAATTCCATTTTTTTAGATCATGAAAATAAGGTAGATCTTTTCAGTGTTCAGTGGGAAGACACTTGAATCAATTACTTCTCAACCTATCTATCTCAAAATTTTTGAATATTGTAAAACATGAATAAATAAAAAAATGTATTTGGATATTGAAATGACCTAAGTCAAGCCATATTTTAAAAATAGAAACACATATACCATGTACTTTACATGCGTTGCTTCATTTAATCTTCGAAATAGATCTCCAAATTAGTTAATACAGTATTTTTTATTTATCTCTTTCTTTGTTTTGGTATATTTTGTATAAACCATCAAGTCTACATTAAATTACAAAACAAAACAACATAACACCTGGAAAAGTTCTCCCCAAAATACGTTATTATAATTTAAAATATTGTATGCACACTTACATTCTTCCAGGACTAGATCCATAGAAGACAGGGCTGATAAATATGCCCCTTTAACACTGTAGAGCTTAAAGTTTTAGTGATTCCTTCTACAGGACTTGTCTGTAATAATGTTTCTAATTGTTTATTTATCAAGATATTATAATTAAGATGTTACATATTAGAAAATTTTAAGACTATTTTATGAGTTATTTAGGTAGTATCAAATTTATTTATTTGGTATATCTTACTATTTTAAAGCTTTAAGGTGTTGTCATAAAATTTTATAGTCTTTAAAAATACCCTCCCATACTCCTGTATATTATCAGAATTAGACTGTCAATTAAGAGTCCACCGAGTCTTTAAGCAAAATAAAATATAACAGTTAAATCCACACATATTTTTAAGTGTGTTAAAAACTAGATCATAATCTATATTTTTCTTCTTTTTCTCCCATAGACATTTCTCAAGAGTGTAAATCTAATTTGAAGAAAACAGTGCCTGGAATCATACCAAATGTCGAAAGAGATGAAACTTCTAATTCTATAGTGTAATAAGATTAGTAAAGCAAGAGACTTATCTCTATGATAGGAACGGATTATCTGTGTCCTGTCATAGATTGGATTTGATCCTGGGGATATAGTAATTTGTAATTTAAAAAAAAAAGTTTAAATTGCCAAATTGCAACTAGAATTTTAAAAATTACGCTCTTCTACTTTATTTTTGCTAGATATAATAATTTTATTATATGGCTAATATTCCTTATGTATATGAGTTAAACATTAAATTATGCAAGTTATATCTGAGAGCACCAATTAGAAATGATTATTTTTTCATATTATTTTTAGTAATATTTTTGTCTAATAATTATCTAATAAGTACACTTTT